ACACACACACACACACACACACACACACACACACACACACACGTGCACACAGAGGGAAAACCTTGTGGGGGAAGACGGCCATCTACATCTACATGCCCAGGAGAGAGGCCTCAGCAGACACCCTGACCTTGGGCTTCCAGCCTCCCGGCCCGGGAGACAATACATTTCTTTTGGTTAAGTCTCCAGGAACGTAGCACTTTGTTATGGCAGCCTGAGCAGACTAATACACCCAGTGAAGGCTCTGATAAGTCCTGCAGTTAGGAGCCCCTGCGACTGCCCTGGGAATGGGGCAGAGGATGAGCAGAGAGAGTTCTAACTCTCCAAGTGGGAACTGGGTATGGTTTGCTGTGTGACTGTCCTCACACAAACGCAGGCTCTGATCCCAGGAGCTGGAGAAGACCCTCCGCCTGTATGGCCCCAGGCCTGCTGAGACAGTTCCCAGAGGGCTTGGGGGTGGTGGGCATGCAGGGCAGTTCTGCTTGTTCATAATACTCAATATCCCATGAGTAGGGCGCAGCCAAGGGCTGCTGGGCCCCACCCAGCATCAGCTTTCCTGCACCCTTTATCTCCTCTGCAAAGCAGCTGCCGTTAGTGGCCCCATCTTCTGGATGAGGGATCCCAGCAGGTTGGCCAAGGCCTTTCAGCTGATCAGTGCCGGAGGCAATATTCAAACCTGGGCCCAAGTTCTTAACCTCCACTGGGGCTTAACATGCCCTCTGGCAGAACAACAGGGTGTGGTGGGGCCTGAGGCACGGGGCAGGGGCAGGGGAATGGGACTCCTGGGAGGCGGGCCCCACCAGCTCCCTCAGAAGGAAAGTGAGGTGAGCGGAGCCTGGAGAGAGCAGGCAGTGTTTATTTCTCTGGTAAGGGAGGGCGCAGGCCAGGGCGGAGCTGGGGGGGGTCAGGGTAGAGGAATGTCGTCCAGCTTCTGGTCCAGCATCTTGAGGTCATCCAGGAAGCGTGTAGGAGTGAGGACGTGCGTGCGAGGACCCCGGGCAGGAGCACAGGGGTGGGGAGGTGGGGTCACTGCCTGGGGACCCTCCAACCGGGGTCCCTGGGAACTCCGGAATTGACTGTGGGGACGCAGGAGTCTAGACCCCTTAGAAACACAGAAGTACGACTATGTCCCCTCACCCAGGCCTCCCAGACACAAGCCCTGCATAGGTTCCAGGCTTTGGGTATCCCGCCGGAGGCTGGTGGTCAGCCCACCCACAAAAGTTGGTAGTCCAGCATATCCCCGGGTACCCAGGCATGGGGGAATCCGGCGCCAGGCCCTGCTCTGGCCGGGTACACCCCAGTCATAACTCACCAATGAGCACCTCCCACTTGCCATCTGTGGCCCTGGTCACCTCATACGCAGCCCTCATCTCTGACATGGCCACGCCACCCACGATGTAGATGATAAGCCGGGATCCTGTGCGTGTCTCCACGCCTGCTTTATTCTTGTGCCAATGGCCGAAGCGGGCGCTGTGTCGAGGGAGGTGGGCAGAGGTCAATTTGGAGGCCACCCCCCACACTCCCGTCACCCAATGGGTGCCTCTGTGTGGGGGCTGGATCCCCACGGCCCTCACCTGACAGCAGCCTGGGAACTGGGTGTGGGGGCGGGGGCGGACACGAAGGGCCACAGCTCTGTGTCAAGCCGGTCCTCCACGGCATCCTGGGGGCCGGAGACGGAGGCTTGGGAAAGGGCCTCAGGGGGTGGGGCCCAACGCCTGGAGCCCCTCCACCATGTGTCCGGGAGCCAAGGTCTTGGCAGACAGGTGCCACCATCTGCAGCTCCGGCCTCTTGGGGACCCAGGAGTCCAGGCATCCAAGGTCTATGGGGGTGGGGTCCAAGGCTGCTGGGCCCCCAGGCAGGTGGAAGGGATAGGACTCCCCCCACAGGGACAGCAGGCAGGAAGCTGGGACCTGGTCCTTTGGGATTCTTGATGCTCTGGGCTCCCAGGATGGGCAGCGGCTGGCACAGGGTGGGGAAGGGTAGACCAGGGGGCTTTCTAGGTGGCAGGGGAAGAGAATAGAGGGGGACAGAGGAGGGGTCTCTCTGCCACCCCAATTCCTCAAGTGCCTGCTTGGGGCCCCTCTGGTGGAGCAGATCGGATGTCATGGGGCACGCCCGTAATGAGGGATTTCTATAAGCCCCGAGGCTTGGCGCTGTGACTACGAAGGGGCTGAGTCGCTGCTTGGATGGGGGCAGGGGGAGGGAAGGTCCCATAGTCCCCACCCTCCCCGGGCTCGTCCCCACCAGCAGTACCTCCATCACATCCTTGATGACAGGGGTCCAGCGAGACAGCTGGTAGGTGGGCTCCGAGCGCTCCCTCCGCTGCAGCCGGCGTGGGGTCCCAGAGCCCTACAGCGGGGCGCAGCGGGACCCGTGGAGGAGGTGGGGAGAAGGAGGTGGGTCATAGATGGGGCTGGGGGCTCGTCTGGCTTGTGGGTGGTGCATACAAAGATGGAGAGACAGACAGAAAGACAGCATGAGAGAGTAAGGAAAAAGGATGAAGAACACAGAGAAACAGGGGAGCTGAGAGTTGGGGGCCAGGGGGCCAGCAGAGATGGGAGCCGGGTGAGAGGGGCCAGCCAGCCACCACCTAGCAGTGCAGGCGGGGTCAGGGGCAGCGGGGCGCGTAGCGCCAGAGAGAGACAGGAGAGGCTAAGCTGAGAGTCAGGGAAGGAAGCAGCTGTATGTGTCTGCTTTCCGGGGGCAGGGGTCCTCTGAAAGGTCAACTGTGTGCCCTCATGCCAATGCTGCGGACCCTGTTATCTGCGCCCGGGACTCAGGCCGCACGCCCCACACTGCCCCGCCACCAGGACCAGGGCTCTGACCACATCGCACCCCCTGGTTATGTGTCCCACTGCTGGGGACAGCTCTGGTGTCCCCTGGTCCCCATATCTGACCCTGCACAGTGCTCTCTGTCCCCCAAGGACCACACCGTGTCCCGTGTACCCCAGCCCTGGTGATATGCCCTCTGGCCCTGCGGTGCCAGGCTCTGATTCAATGCCCTCTCCCCGGCATCCCTAGGCCATTTGCCCTGCGCCCAGCTTCTGACCCGACAGCCTGCTTCCCAGCATACCACAAGGGTGCTGACAGTGCCGCCCAGCCGCTCCAGGTTCAGGATGATGCTGCTGTGCGCCTGCACGTTGGCGTGCTGGATCAGCTTGACCAGGTTTTCCTCACTCACGCCTAGAGGTGGATGGGATCCTTATGGGGAAGGTGGGACAGCAGGTGGTGGCCAGGAGGGTTCCTGGGCTAAGCGTGGGGGTGGCATGAGGGGCTGGCAGGGCTGTGGTGGGGGTGTCCTGCGGTTGGGAGGTCTTCATAAACAAGAGGGCCACTGAGGACAGTAGGAAGGGGAGTCCTAAAGTTAGAACTCTGGGTGGGGACCAGGAGGGGGCAGGGCGGGGGATCCTCTGGAATTAGTTGAGAGGAGTCATAGATAAGGCGGTCTCTGTGTCAGTGGCACTCTCATGTCAATGAGGGGACCCGGAGGTCGACGGAGGGGTATCTGTGGGATTTGGCCGGCCTGGGGAGTGGGGATATCCCACGCACTGGGGAACTGTGGGAATGGGAGCTTCCCAGGATCACTGGAGACCCCAGCGAATGGGGAAATCCCGAGGCCTTCCTGTGCTCCCACCCACCATTCCGCAGAACGATGTAGAGCAACAGGACCCGGATCTTGTCGTAGGCCGGCACTGCTGCATCCAGCAGCACGGGCACGATCAGCTTCATGGCGTCCTTGATCTTCTCGCCCTCTGCATCGGAGCCCATGGCCAAATCCTGCAGGGCGTGGGGACCAGCTGTCCTGCTAGCCACTACGGCCCAACAGGGCTGGGACATTCCAGGATCCTTGGCAGGAATTTTGGGCCCGCTTCCTCCTCTTTAGGTCTTGGAAGGTCCCACCGCGTCCGCCATAGGCCCCCCCTCCCCCAACCAGGTGCCACCTCCCCGCAGGCCCCGCCCCTCATACAGATCTTTTTTCCCTAACCCCCCGCAGGCCACACACCCGTCCCAGGCGGCCCGTACCTGCTCCACACCGCACAGTTTCTCCACAGAGCCCTTAAAGCGCTTCATGCAGTCGTTGGCTAAATTCAGGTGCGTGGAGTACTGCGGGGTGGGGTGACAGAGACCACTTCGAGGCCGAGAGTCAGGGTGGGGGGAGAAGCGGGGGAGTAGGGGTGGTGCGGAAGGGCGGGCAATGGGGGTTCCCCACCCGCGCTCACCTTGCTCAGCTCCTTCTGGTACTGCGGCATCTTTTTCAGTATGTGGGACAGGTCTTTGATGTTGGCCTGGGGCAGGAGGGGTGTGAGGCCAGGCCCCGCCTCCCGAGGTCCCGCAGCCGGATGGAGGCCCCGCCCCCGCTCTGCGGGGAGCCGGCTCTCCTTCCCGGCAGCGCGTCCGGCCCGCCCCCTACCTTGTCCGTGGACAGCCTCTTGCTCTCACAGAATGTCTTCAGAAGCTCTGGGACCCTCCTGGCAGTAAGGGCGGGCAGAGGTGAGGTTGGCGAGGTGGTGTGGCGGCAGAATGGGGAGGGGTCAGAAGTCCCTAGAGCAGGCCTCGTGCAAGCTTGCTCTGGGAGGACACCCGAGAGTTGGGCTGTGGGGTGTGGCTTGCAGAGGGGCGTCTCACCGAGACCCAAAGGGCAGGACTGGGCCACAGTGCGGGAGGAGAGGGTGCGGTGGGGACTGTGGTGCAGAAGGGGCGCCCCGCCCCCTCCCCATGTGCGCACTTGGACACGTCCGCGATGTGCATGTGCCGCAGCTCCAGCCACAGGTCGTCATCCTCGTCCAGCAGCACGGCCTTCTCACGGGCCTCGGTCAGTCCTGTGGTTTCATACCTGCAGGAGGAGGTGACACGAGGCTCAGGGGAACTAGCCAAGGACCAGGCACCCGGGTCCGCGGTGAAGGCGGGGGTGAGTCTAGGGTCCACCCACTTGTACGTGTCCTGCTCGATGTCCAGCAGGTCATAGGCCATGGCCTGGAACGTTAGCTCATGCAGCAGTGGGGACACAAGATCATGAGCCCGGTCCATGATTAGTAGCTGTGAGCGGGTTTTTTCAGGGCCCTGGGGAAGAGGGGCAGGAATGAGGACACTGACCCTGTCCCTAACTGGGACCTCGCCCCAACCTCCCCGGGACACCTCACCTCGCCCAGACTGGGAGTGTGTGCCTTGAAGGCGTTCAGCTTGGCCAGGACAGCATGGGCCAGCTGTGCCATGTCTTCTGGGCCCCTGGGGGTGGGGCGAGCAGACACGGGTTCTCAGGACATAGGGTTGGGGAGAGCCAGGCACAGACTGGGGGTGTCAAGGATGGGGTTAGGGATGGGAGTTAGGGGTTAGGGATGGGAGTCAGACCAGGGTGAGGACCAGGGCTGGGAACAAAAGTGAGGTTAAAGGTTGGATGCAGGATGAGGTCAAGGTCAGGGGGCAGCATGGGGTGGGGTCCCCACTTTCGGTAGCGGATGGCCGGGTACTCCTGCAGTGTGGTACACAGTGTGGCGATCTGCTGGGCCAGTGCCTCCAGCTGCCGTGTCCGCTCCTCGGCCCGGTAGGGACAGTAGAGGTTGTAGGTGCTGTAGGGGGCATCCAGGGAGAACACCTGGGAGGCACAAGGGCCAGAGCCGCCGCTGTCGGGGCACAACTGCCCAACTTCCTGCCTGGGCCGTCCCCGGGTCCCCAGAACCGGCTCGGCCCTCCGCGAGGCGGGACAAACTCCAGCCAATGCCCGAGGGAGGGGGTGGGGCAATGCCCCAGCCTCCACCCCCTTGGGCGGCACCACCCAGAGGCCTGCGCTCCGCTGCCCCCTGCAGGCGCCCAGAGGGACAGAACTCCAGGGGCCCACAGTCGTCTGCGCTGTCCCTTGGCTCTCCCTTCTGACTCGGGGTGGTCATGGACTCCCACACTCTGCCCGGGACTAGCTGGGGCTGTACCTGGGCTTCGTAGGGGAGGAAAGCAAGGTGGATCTCTTTCAGCGTCTTCACCACCTTTGCCACACGGGAGCGACCCAGTTCATTGAAGAGGGGCTCCGGACAGGCTGGGGGTGGGGAGGTGGGGCAAGATGGGGCATCAGGCCAGAGGGGCCCTCGTGCTCCCTTGCCCCTACCACCCACGCGCTTCCTCCTCACTCACTGTCGGTGAAGAAGATATGTGCTGCTTTGTAGATGAAGGTTGGGGTCCTCTGGAAGTCTGCGATTAGGGCGTGCACCGACTGGGAAAGGCAGATCACTTTCTAGGCCTGGTCCTGTGCCTGCAGACACTTCCGGGCTCTGCCCCTGCCTCCCAGCCGCTGCCTGTTCCCACACACACGTGTAGACATGCAGACACGCACGCGCACCTACACCCACCCACACGCACTCTCTCGCTCCTGTAGGCACCTTCTCCGTGGGGCTCAGCAAATAAATGGCCTCCAGGCTGGGGATGGGCTCTCGACGTTTGTTGATGTCTTCAACAACTAGTAGAAACAGAGAAAGGAGGCATTCATGGGTGCCCAGGGACAGGGGGAGTCTCAGACTGGCAGTTGGACACTTGCAGAGGAGGGTCAGATGTTGGGGGGTGCTGCGTTCCTTACGGGTCTTATGCAGGAGGTGAACACATGGGTCACAGCTAAGAGCTACCTGGGCAGGGTTCTTTACTTTCACAGACCCTGGGGTCCCCCAAGAGAAAGTTATGCATTCTGGGGGTCCCTATTGAGTTCACCCTCAGGGTCCTACACAGCATTCTACACACAGTGGGGGAGGCTGACCCCTTAGGGGTGGCAGCTAGGGAGTCCTTGGTGGGAGGTCGCTCACCACAGACTCCCACACTCAGGTGGGGGAGGGTCACACCCTCAGGGCTGTCTATGCAGGAAGCTGCACACTTAGAAGTTCTGGGCAATCTGAAGGCATCCTACCCTTGGGTCCCATCTATGCAGCAAGGCCTGGGGGTGGGGTGGTATTCACTCACGGGTGACGCCCTCATCTACGATGTCTGACATCTTGCAGCAGGATGATAAGATGTGCATGCTTGGGTGGTCCATGATGAGCACCTATCCGGATGGATGGATAGATGGACCCACAGATAGACAAATGGGTAGTAGAGGCCACCACTGCCCATGAGGTGGGGGTGGGGCAGTGGGCAGGACTGAGAGTTCAAGAGCTGGCTGAATGGGAGGACCTAGGACCCAGGACCCCCCCCCCCACACTCCACACCTGTGGACCAGAAGCCTCTTCAGGGTGTTCTTGGGGGTCTCATATTCAGGGTTCCCCATAAGGGTTTGGACAAGGCATTCTGCCTCACCCCTACCTTCCACTCCCCATCCTTTTTGACGCTCCGAATGACTCCGGTCAGAATTTCTGCACAAAAGGGAGGGGTGGGCTCAGGATGCTACCCCCTCTGTCTGTCCCCACCACGTCCCCAAGCCTTCTGGGCCCGGGGGCTGGGCCTCCATCTTCATTCCTATTAACTCCTCCCCCCAGTCCCAATTTACAAACAAATAAACTGAGGTTTGGAGAGTACAGGTGAACGGCCTAAGTGCCCTCAGTACCTAAGTGTCTGAGTGCCTGGGGCATAAGCAGCCCCTCAGTAAATGAGCTTTCGATGTCCAGTAACCTAAGGCCAGGCTTGCATATATATTCACCTGCCTCCAGAGCTGTTATCAGCCTCCCCATCTGCTTGCTCCCTCGAGTTTCCCTGGTGTGTAGGTTTCAGCTAGAACCCCACCCCACCTTATTAGCTTTCCCTGGACTAGAATGCAGGAGCTCTGGCCCCCTACTCTGAGGCGCTCCTAGCTGTGGTCATCACCCAACCTCCGGCCTCTGTTTCCCCATCTAGAAACTGGCATCAGTGGTTTTCCTGTCTCCCCGTTAACCCCAGTGTAGGAGTTTCCTTTTTCAGTTGGGATGCTGCAGGCTTGAGCCACACTCTGCCTTGCCCAGCGGAGGGAGGAGGAAGGGACGAGGTGCCCCCGCCTGGCCAGTGTCATGTCCAATGTTATCAGGACGGCCAGGGCGGAAGGAGAAGCTGAAGTCGGAACTGCTCGAGGTGGGGGAGGGGCGACCTCCACCCCGTCCCGCAAGAACCGCTGCCCGTGCGGCCCGGGCGCCTGGGTGTTCACAATGCGTGGGGCTTCGGGGCACAGAGCAAGGAGGAAGGCGTCCCCCAGCCCTGGACCTGGACAGGGCCCTGGACATGCCCCCAGAGCACTCATTCCACCTGGGGTCGCTGACAAGCGCACTCAGCCCGGCCCCAGCCCCCATGAGACCCAGGAGTGTGCGCGTCAAGCTGTGCTTCCGCAAAGCCGGCACCTTAGAGAGCCCAGGAGCCCGAGCCCCGGCGCCTGCCTACGCCACCTTAGCCCGATTGCCTTGGGTCCCCCGGAGACCAGTCCCCAAAATTTGTAACGTTGGGACACGGGAGAGGCGGGGCGTCCAGCCGGGACCAAGTCCCCGCCCGCCCCCCTCGAGGGTTAGTTGCTCAACGCCCAGTCCGGCTCCCAACTCCCCGGCATCGGAGTCTCAGGGTCCCTGCGCCCCGGGCTCCCGCCCCCCAGGGGACGCACTCACTTTCCCCCACGACGGCCTTCAGCCCCGAGGGCGCCATCTTCCCCTAGGGGCGCCGCCGCTTCCGCGTCTGTCCCCAGGTGGGGGCGTGGCCCCGTGCGTCACCCACGTGGACCGCACCCCGCGGAGCCTCGCCCCGCCCCCCCCGCGCGCCTGGCCCGGCCGCCCGTGTGTCCACGCAGACAGGCACCCAGTCGCCGCCGACGATACGCCCGCAGACGTGAGCTCAGCCACACTCCCGCTGCTTGCGTGCAGCGAGCAAGTGGTATCGCAGGGTCACAGCCCCTTAATTTTCCCCAGGCACGCCACCACGCTGCCGACGTTTCTCCATGCCCGAGGGAGGCTGTGTGCTCACCCGGGCCGCGGGGCCGCAGACCCGGGACCCTCTTACCTTCTATACTCCAGGGTTTGTCAGCAGCAGCAGGTTGGGCGACTCAGGAGGTGGCCTGGAAAGGGAGGTTGGAGCTAAGCCAGCACTCGCCCTGTGTCAGGGACCTGCGCCCAGTTCTCACTGGATCCACCTAGAGACCGTGATAGGGAATGCGGGTGCAGACACGAAACCGCCCCGACTCTTCTCCAAGTCCACATGAGGAGTAGCAGTAGACCTACTGGGAGATGAAGCAGGAGTCTGTCCCTGGAGGACTGCCTGTTACTGCCTTGCGCTCACCAGGTGCACACACACTCCCACGGGTGGACAATCATGTGGATGTAGTAGTATGCTCAACCAGTGCTCACACACACGTAAATTTCAGTTCACTCCTGACTCGAAACTGCAGGGCCTGCTCCGGCTATGTGCCAGCCACGGGCTGGTACTTTGTCACATACAGGGCATAACCCAACAGCACCCACGCAAATGAGGTCTCACACAAGGTGCACCCATGCAGTTAGGTGGGCAGCGCAGTAGGGAATGAGCTTGGGGAAGCGCTGGGGTGGGGTGGGGGTGGTGGAGGCCCAGCAGAAGGTGAGGCTGGAGGGGCCAGATTTGCAAGGGATTGAGAGGTCCCTGGCCACAGATTTCCACTGCTAAAACTGCAACAGTCCGGGTGGACCAGGACAGTTGGCCACCCTAGGTAGGAGTTATAGTTTTTCCTGCAGTTTCCATTTTCCTTTTAAAAATTTTATTTAACTTTTAAAAAATAAGGTACATACAATAAGATACACAAACCTTAGTGTACAGCCCGATGAATTTTGAGGTGTATACACGCATGTGACCATCCCCCAGCTCAAGATATCGAACATTCTCACAAGCTTTTCCCCCCTCACCTGTTTCCCCCACTCCCACCATAGAAACCAAGTCTTTCACAGCTTTGAGATGTAATTCACACACCACACAACTCACCCACCGAGTATTCAGGACAATGGCTTTTAGCATACTCAGAGTTGCACATCCCCTGCCAGTCCATTTTAGGACATTCCCCGTACCCCTGGGTGTTTGGGATTTCTCCTGAGGACAATGGGGGCCAAGGAAGAGTACTGAGCAGGGGGAAGGGGACTCCTGCAGCTCCGGGGTGGATGGATGGAATGCAGGGCAAAGGGAAGCCTGGAGACTGTGAGGAAGCCAGGACCTCCGCGAGCTTCTCAGCCTGTCTCCTGGGGGTGACAGTCTGTAGGGCCTGCCACCTCCCACTATACCTGAGTGACCAGGACCTTGTGCTCTTCATGGCTGAATGCATCCTGCCCAATCCCTGAAAAGAGTTTTGTTGCAAAAAACATATACTGCAGTCCTAACCCCTAGTATCTCAGAATGGGACCTTACTTGGAAATAGGATCCTTGCGGACACGATTGGTTACGATGCAGTCAGAGTGCAGTAGGTGGGCACCTAACGTAGTATGACCGGTGCCCATATCTTATGACAGCCACGTGAAGGCAAGGACGCACGGGGAATGTGTGATGACAGAGGGAGAAACGGAAGTACTGCAGCTCAAAGCGGCGGAAGACCAAGGACTGCGGGCTGCCGCTAGAAGCCAGGGAAAGGCAAAGGATTCTCCCCTAAGGGCTTCAAGGAGTGTGGCTCCGCCCACACCTCGAGGTCGGACTTCTGGCCCCCAGAATGGTGGCGACAAACGTCTCGGGCCCTAAACCACCCAGTTTGCGCTGCTTTGTTAAGGCAGCCCCGGAAAGCGAGTATATCCGTGGAGGAAGACACCACCTTGGCACTGAGGACTTGGGGCTGTGAGGAGGGTGTGGATGTGGGCCCTGGATGGGGGAGGGCTGACGGGGAGGAGGCCCAAGTTCGGCGTTTGGGCAGGGCCAGTGACAGCGCAGCCTGTTTATTCCGGGAAGAAACTTTAAGTAGTTTCCAGAAAGGCATGTTGGGGAGTGGAGTGGGTGCAGGGGGAAAGGGGGGTTCTCCCAGAGCACTGAGGAAAAGTCAGTAACTGCTCAGGGGTGGGGTGGGGCCGGGTCTTTCTTCCTTCCCTCCAGCCCCTGGGAGTCCAGCCTCCCATCCCCAGTCCCAGGCACTGGGGTCAGTCCCACAGCTCAGAGGGGACACCTCCACTTCGCATTGGTGGCAAGGAGACAGGAGATCCAGACCTTTTCATCTTGGGGCCTGTGGTGGGCAGCCAGATGCAGGCGCAGCCAGGAGACAGGGGGAGCTGGGCTGGCTGGTGGTTCAGGGGTCCTCAGGTCCAGCTTCCCCTTCCCCTACCACCCGCAGGCAAAACCTTCCTGCACTGCTTTTGCTGGTGGGCCGCGGACCCCGCCTGACCTGCTGTTGGCCTGTCCCCTCCCAAAGCAGCCCAGCTGGACCCTGCTCCCCCGTGAGGACACCGCTCTGGCCTGCCGCTGCCACACCCGTCCCGAGAGTTCTCGAGACTCAAGGGAGTCTTGCTGGGCCAGCCAAGTCCAAATGCAGGTCACCTGCCTTCTATGCCTTCAGCAGCCCTGGCACTGAGCTACAGAAACAATTATCTGGATCATCTTTATGGGGCTTACGCTTGGGTGGGAGCAGATGGGATGTGAGCTGGGGATTTGGGGCTGGGTACCACTCCCCCCCACATCTCAGTCTGTTATAGAGCCTTGTCTGGCCCAGGGCCGGGGCCAAGGCCAGTGGAGAAGTGGACGGGGCTCAGGGACCATGATGGACCAGGAAGGGGAAGTGGACGAGGGCTCAGCCCCCTGCATCAAGGTAAGCCAGCCCCACCCCCTACACCCCAACTCACAGGCCCATGAATGACAGGACTAATAAGTTTGTAGGGCACCTAATTAGCAGCCGAGTCTCCTGGGACCCCTGGCCCAGTTGCCACCCAAGGAGGTGCTGGTGGGCCTGAGGGGTGGAGTGCCTAACCCAGCCCCAGGGCAGAGGTCAGGGATCTCAGTGCCGACCCCAGGAGGTGGGGGGGGTGCTGGGGCTGGGGGACAGCCCCTGGGATGTTTCGCTGTCTTGTGTCCCAGCCCCCAGGCCACCCTGCAGTCAGGCCCCAATTTAGGACATTGGGAGGCCCGCGCCAGCAGCCTCTCCCTTGGGCAGCACCACGTGAAGGCGCCCTGCTGGCTGGGCGGCTGGGGCGGGGGACCAGGACTGGCAGGGAGGCTCAGGTCTCATTTGGAGCAGCCGTGCAGAGCGGCACCTGGGCTAGGACCATGGTGAGAGCTGAGGAGGGGTCAGGGTGGAGGCCGGTTGGTGTGGAGGGGAGGGGTGCTCAGCTGAACTGAGTGTGTCTGGCTCCCAGGCGGGCTCCCCAGACCAGGAGGGCTTCTTCAACCTGCTGAGCCACGTGCAGGGGGACCGGATGGAGGAGCAGCGCTGCTCTCTGCAGGCAGGGCCAAGCCCGACCTCCGAGCATGGTGAGAGTGGGTGGGGGAGTGGGGTGGTGTGGACAGGGCAGGGTGAAGGAGTCCATGGCGAGTGGCCATCTGGGGGGCGGGAGGGTCTGTGGGCAAGAGCCTATCTGAGAAAGCAAGCAGGCACCTGGGGGCACATATGTTTGTGGGTCTTGGGGCAGGGTGGGGGGTGGGGAGAGACAGGCATGCATCCTGGAGAAAAGGAGTGGGGGGGGAGGGGTGGCCTGGGGGCTCCAGCCAGGCTGTGTTCCCCGTGTATGTGCTCATACCCACACATCTCTGCTCCAAGCAGAGAGTGTCCCCGCACCAGAGATGGACAATCTCATGGACATGCTGGCCAATACCCAGAGCCGCCGCATGGATGACCAGCGTGTGACAGCCAGCGCCCTGCCTGGCTTCCAGCCCATAGGCCCCAAGGTAGGACATTCTGCTGGGGCTGCGGAGAGACCAGCCAGGCCCCCACCCCCACGAGGAGTGAACGTGCCCCCTAGGGATGAGTGCCTGGGAGGATTACCCCGCCCTCCCCTTCCCCAACCGAGTCCCCTGCGAGTCCCTGGGACCCAGCCAATTTCAGACTGGAGAATGAAAGTCCAGACAGGGCTGGGAGGGGCCCAAGGTCATGCATGGGAACGTTAATGTTGGAGTCCTGGCTGGATCACATGGCTCCTGCCCTTACATCTCAGGCTCCAGGGAGGCCAGAGAGAACAGACCCCCTTCGTGGGAAGACACCCCACAGAGGTGTCCGAGCTCCTGCACAAGATACACCCCCCCATACGTTCACAGGTGTCTATGTCACACATACACACAGCCTGGGTTCTGATCAAGACCCCAAGACCCACCACTTCACACCCAAATACCCTCCTAAATGTTGAGTGACTATGGTACGTAGAAGCTTGACAGGATCCTACCTGCACCTCCCCTCCAGTGCATGTGTCACCCCTAGCGGACTCTGCCCTTGACCCCTGCCTCTGGCTGACCCCTCTCCATCCACAGGATGGAGTGCAGAAACGAGCCGGGACCCTCAGCCCCCAGCCCCTCCTCACCCCTCAAGACCCAACTGCTCTCAACTTCCGTCGGAACAGCAGCCCCCAGCCCCAGACACAAGCCCCCTGAGGGCCTGAGCCGCTCTGGACCCCACTTGGCCCTTGAAAGCAGACAATAAAACACTTCCACGAGCAACAAGGAACTGCGTGTGTGTTATTTCACGGATGGAGGGGCTAGGGCACTGGCACTTGGAGGGCTCAGGAACTCTTGTCGGGCAGCACGAAGGAGCTTCTCCTCCCTCTGCTTCCGTATCCGCATTTTGAATTCTTCCAGCTCTTGGCGCTGGGGATGGGAAAGGGGGTGGAACAGGAAGGAAGGAGGGGGGCCCACATCTCAGGGCCTGGACCCCTCTCCCACCACCCTACCCCCTCCTCCCCCAGGCCACGGCTTCAGAGTTCAGTGTCTGCCCTGGAGGCCCTGTGCCAACCGCAACCAGCATCCAGGAGGGCTCAGCTTCATCCTTCAGGGGGAGGGCAATTAAGGAACCATATACCCTTCTGCTCTCTGTTTTCTGCTCACAATTGAGGGTAAAGTGTTGATTCAAACTCATCAAAGCCACAGGGATCCAGGCACCTCCATCCCCATCCCTCTGGTGGGAGCAACAGCACCTCACTTACCTGGTCCTCCTTCTCAGGTGGCCATAGCTCCCTCTGTGGAGACAAAGGCACAGCTGGAGGCACAAGCCAGGAGCCTCTAGCACCCCACAGCCAGGAAAGGGTTGGCTCACAGGAGGCAGACACTGGTCTCCAGCAGGCTGGCGGCCCATGCCCCGCTCCCACCCTGTGGAACGAACCCGTGAGCACTGTCCCTATGCCCACCTTGCGCTGTATGACATAGTCCTCAAACCACTCGGCCTGATTGGCAATCCAGAACATGGCCACAGGGAAGGTGAGGTACAGTGTCATCTGGAAGGGCAGGGGGCTGGATGAACAGAGGCAGGGATAATCCCCCTTCTCCAATGTGCAGAACCTGGAACCCAGCAGCGCGTCCTCGGGGTTCCCGAAGAACCCCAGAACTCCCACCAAGGTACAGAAGCTTCAAATACCTTAAAGTCTTGCCACCATAATCCAAGAGACCTTAGTCTTGAAAGCCCCCTCCGAATCCGGGAGACTCTCAAAGACAGACACACGCGCACACACACTGGCCCCCAGGAACACAAGGGCTTCTACTACAATCAAAGGCATCTCCCTGAGAACTTATTATCCGCACCCCCACCCTCACCCAGGCAGATCCCGGGAGCACACCCAAATCTGGGGGGCCTCATTCTTGGAAACCATCCCCCTAAATCAAGGAGTCTCCCTTTCAGGGACACACACACACACACACACACACACACCCTGAGCCCGCGAGCTCCCCCTGGGTCTGCAGCTTTCCTTTCAGATCTCTCCTCTCTTGGAGGCCTTTCCTCATATCAGCCCTCCTGGGGTCCCCTAAGCCAGCGCCCCCTCCGCTGGGCTTCCACCCGTAAGTCCCTCTCAAATCTCAGGGGCTTTCTCCCCAGAGAGCCCTCTCTCAAAGTGCCTGCTTTTCAGAGCTTCCTCCCTCAGATCAGCAAGACCCCGCGCCCAGCCTCCCATCCGCTCCGTTGTGCACTGACCCGAAACACCTCCAGTTTCACCCCCATCTCGCTTCTCCTACGCTACAAAGCCGCTTCCGCCCAAAGCCAATGCTCCCGGGCTCTCCGACGGAAGTTGATTGGTCGAGGAGCCCCGGGTGAGGTCATCTCGGGGAGCCTCTATCCTGCTCCCCGTCTCCCGCGCGCTCCAAGTGAAAGTCAACAACACTGGCAGCAAGGTCGGAAAGGGATCAGCCAATAGGAAGGAGGTCTGACTCGAAAGGGCGGGTCTTCGGCGGGAGACGTCATTGTAACGCGACTCCCGCGCGTGCCTGGAGAACCAGGAAAGTGGTAGTGATGGCGCGACTCTTGCGGCCCGAGCGGTCGGACCTTGTCTTCGTGAGTCCGGGGCAGGGTGGGGGGTGGCCGGTGTGGGTGCACCAGGGCTTGGGTGCCGTAGGGAATGGGAGTCTGGCCTCCCCGGGGATCTAGGCCAATGCTATGTCAGCCTGCGGGCAGGAGGACCCTAACGAGCCCGAGAGCGGACTGTGAGAGGACCAGGATGGTTAGGAGCAAAGGGCCAGTGCCAGAGCTCAGGTGGCCTGAGTAAAGAGCTGCCGTCGCGGTAGAGGGCTTGAAGTGACAGGCCTGGGGCGGAAATGGGACATGCGGGGAACGGAAGGGGAACGGAAGTTCACGTGAATCTTCAGAGACTGGTAGCGTCAGAGTCAGTAAAGGCATGGGTGGCCGGAACATTATCAGATAAAAAATCAAGTCATTAACTCAAAAGCTAGAAATGATCAAGCTTAATGAGGAAGGCATGTTGAAAGCCGAGATAGGCCTGCTGAAGGTAGGCATCTTTGGCCAGACATCCAAGTTGTGAGAGTGCAAAGGAAAAGTTCTGGAAGGAAAGTAAAAACGCTACTTCAGTGCACACACGAATAAGAAGAAAGCAGAACAGCCTTATTGCTGATGTGGGGAAAGTTTTCTAGGTCTGGATATAAGATCAAGCCAGCCACAACATTCCCTTAAACCAAAGCCTAATAAGATCAAGCCAGCCACAACATTCCCTTAAACCAAAGCCTAATTAATCTACAGAGCAACGCCCTAACTTCAATTCTATGAAGGCAAGGGAGGTGAGGAGGCTGCAGAAGAAAAGCATGAAGTTAGCAGAGGTTGGTCATAAGATTTAAGTGAGGAAGCCCCCTCAAAACAAAGAAGTGCCAGGCAATGCAGCAGGTGCTGATGTGGAAGCTGCAACAGGTCATCCGGAAGCTCTAGCTAAGAGAATTAATGAAGAAGGCTGCACTAAACAGATTTCCAATGTAGACAGAACACCCTTGTATTGGAAGAAGACACTGTCTGGGGCTTTCATAGCTAGAGAGGAGAAGTCAGTGTCTGGCTTCAAAGCACAATGAGGTTTCCTTTATTCATTGTCACACCTCCAAGTTCTGGGGCAGAGTTGAGCTAGACTGGCTAGTGGGAGCCTGAGGTGCCAAAGGCCTGGTGTCCAGAAAGAGGCATGCTGTAAGGAGGCAAGTCATGGTGTGCAGGACAGAGGCCTGGCATCCTAAGTAATCTGGTGATTTGGGCCACTAGGGAGTTGGTGGCTCGATTTGGAAGGCAAAAAGAGAGATGTCTGGGTGACAGTCTCATGTCTGGCCTAGAACCCTGTGACTGAGAGGGCACCATGTGGGTCAGATTGCAGGGGAGTAGAATTCTGCGGGGTAAATGTCTGGACCAGAGTCCTGGCATCTAGGCTCTGCTGGTGGGCACTGGGATGCGGGAGTCGGTGTGGGTCTGGAGTTTGTAGCGAAACAGTGCTGCTTTCAGGCTGTGAACACAGATCTTTCTTCTCCCCATTTCCTGCCTTGCAGGAGGAAGAGGACCTCCCCTATGAGGAGGAGATCATGCGGAACCAGTTCTCTGTCAAGTGCTGGCTCCGCTACATCGAGTTTAAACAAGGTGCCCCGAAACCCAGGCTTAACCAGCTGTATGAGCGGGCGCTGAAGCTTCTGCCCTGCAGGTGGGAATGGCCCTGGCCAGTAGGCCCCAAGTGACTGCTCAGTGTTCCCCACCACTGAGTGTACCTCCCCTGATAAATCAGCACACCTTCTCTGATGTCCCCGTCTATTCCCACATGTTGAGACTCGTCACCCGTCCCCAGGCCCCTTCTCCCAGCGTTTGCCTCATCGGGCAAGGCAAAGGGTTGTGGGCTCCACATAACTGACCAGTCACTGTCTTTCGCCTGCCCCCATGCTCCAGCTACAAGCTCTGGTACCGCTACCTGAAGGCACGCCGGGCACAGGTGAAGCATCGCTGTGTGACCGACCCTGCCTACGAAGATGTCAACAACTGCCACGAGAGGGCCTTTGTGTTCATGCACAAGGTGGGGGCTGGGCCTGGGGACACACGGGGAAGAGGGGCTCAGAGTCCATTGGGGTGTTCGAGTCCAGGGTTGGAATCCTGTTGCCTCTGCACGTGAAGTTGAGCTAACAGCGTTCCTGGTGCCCTCTTAGTCGGGGGACATCTGGTGTCTGTGTGGTCTGGCCTTGGTGCCTGCAGCTGAGACCTGCCTGCCTCTCCCCATGCCTCCAGATGCCACGTCTGTGGCTAGATTACTGCCAGTTCCTCATGGACCAGGGCCGCGTCACGCACACCCGCCGCACTTTCGACCGTGCCCTCAGGGCATTGCCCATCACCCAGCATTCCCGGATTTGGCCTCTGTACCTGCGCTTCCTGCGCTCTCACCCTCTGCCTGAGACAGCTGTGCGAGGCTACCGGCGCTTCCTCAAGGTAAGCCCCTGGGGTGAGGCCCGTGGGCCAGCTCCCGGATCTGGGGTTTCTAGACACTGGCTCTGGGCTACTAGCCCCGTGCAGGATGGCAGCTAACAGACAGGTTATAGGAAAAAAAGCTCCTTGAGACAGACAGGACTCGGTCTGTGGTTGGTTGGTTTACTCGCCAAATAGTTTGCTAGCACCTGCTCCACATCAGGCACTGAGACAGGAGCTGGGGACTGTGTGACACAGACAGTCCCTGCCTGCCTGTGTGGAGCTTTCAGTCTAACTGCAGAGATGGATGCGTGTGGGCTGACTGCACAGAGCAGAGTGAGGCCTCAGCCATGTGAGAGCAATGATTGGGGCATGAACCGGGTGTAGAACAGGCAGGGCTGAGAGTCGAGCAGAAACAGTGGGATGGGGCACAGTTTTCTCAAACTCAGAATGTCCAATAGGCTTCATGAACTCCTGAGCGCAGTTGCTGTTTAGGGCAGGGGCATGTGGTGAAGCTAGGCTTGGGCTGAGCAGGCTGGGCCACCGGTGTCCGTGCCACAGCAGCAGCCAGCACTGGGACTGGACCAGGGGCCCAGGCTGGGCACCTACTCCACCCGGGTGGGCAGGGCCGCCTCTTGCCAGGACGGTGGCAGGCGGCTGACAGGAGGCCCAGAGTCTCTGAGTGGGAGGGGGCGTGGCAGTGTTGCCCTGCAGCCCCACTGACTGCTGAGGGGGGTCGGTGGGTGCCCAGCTGAGCCCTGAGAGTGCAGAGGAGTACATCGAGTACCTGAAGTCCAGCGACCGGCTGGATGAGGCCGCCCAGCGCCTGGCCACCGTGGTCAATGACGAGCGCTTTGTGTCCAAGGCTGGCAAGTCCAACTACCAGGTGGGCCTGGGGGGCACCCACTACTGGCTGGAGGGCTCTCCCTGTTGGGGACTGAGACTGAGCCTCCTTCCCGTGGCCCTGCAGCTGTGGCACGAGCTCTGTGACCTCATCTCTCAGAACCCGGACAAGGTGCAGTCACTCAATGTGGATGCCATCATCCGCGGAGGCCTCACCCGCTTCACCGACCAGCTGGGCAAGCTCTGGTGCTCGCTGGCCGACTACTACATCCGCAGCGGCCACTTTGAGAAGGTGCATGGGCTCGCACTCTTCTGGGTGGGGCGGGGTCTCCCTCCAGTGCCCTGCAGTGACACGTGTGAGCAGAAACCACCTGCCATTTGTGCGCACACATGTGCCCTGCATGTTTGCCTTCCTGAGGGTAAGAGGCGGCACAGCTCAGATTCTCCCGGGCCGCATGGCCTGAGGCCCGTTAAACCACGGTGTCCTCATCAGCAAAGTGAGAGGGGCAGTCGCTCCTTCACCAGGGAGGATGCAGATACTCGACATGAGGGTCACTCCTGAGGTGCTGGGGTTACTGTCAGAGTCCACGTTAGTGTGCACTGTGTGGGCCGGTGGGGTGGTAAGCTCAGGATGGGGGAGTGTGCGGAGCTCTGACAGATCCCCAGAGGGGCTGCCTGGGGCCTCAGGGAATGGGGGAGCCCTGCAGGCTGAGGAGGGGCTGGCCATATCTTGCCGGGGATCATGAGCATGACAGAGGCATGACCAGGGGTGTGTTTGACAAAGACTCCTCATGCTGCTATCTTTAAACAGAATGCACAGGCCAGTGGACGGGAGCTGGGTACTGGGCAGAGGCCGTGGGGCAGGGCTGGCCAGGTCCAGGAGTGGTGGGGTGGGGCCTAGGTTTGGCAGGGGCAGGGGGGACTGAGAGAATGAGCTGGAGAAGCAGGCATAGGCCGGCACTGAGGGGATCCTTTGAGCAACAATTGAGTCCTCTGTGGCCAAGCTGGGTCCCTGCGGGGTGAACCTGTGTGGGCATGGAGGGTAGTCACCTGTTCCCTTTTGCTTGGTGACAGGCGCTTTACACGCCTCCCTTGAGCCTCACTGTCAGTTTGCTGAGGGGGTGCCTAGGCCCTCAGGTGGCTCCAGCAGAGTAGGGCGGCAGGGGACCCCCCCTGTGGCCGTGCAGGGCCCCCCTGCTCAGGGCCTGATGGGGCAGGGCAGGCCTCGGGGAGGCCCTGCAGGGCTTCTGACTCAGGGTGGGTGCCGAGGCCAGTGCTGCTGGGTTCCCCGTGTCCATGCCAGTGGGCACATGGCCTCTGTGCTGCCGGCGCTTTCCTCTCAGCCCTGCCCCTGCCCGCAGGCTCGGGATGTGTACGAGGAGGCCATCCGGACCGTGATGACCGTGCGGGACTTCACCCAGGTGTTCGACAGCTACGCCCAATTTGAAGAGAGTATGATCGCAGCTAAGATGGAGACCGCCTCGGAGCTGGGGCGCGAGGAGGAGGGTGAGCCGCCAGGCAGTCTGGGCTGGTGCGGGGGTGCAGCCCAGGTGGCCCGGGGGGGCCCCGAGCCATGGTGTCTTGGGGGCAGTCAGGCCAGCA